TGAAGTCAACAGAAGTCATTCACATGGAGAGAGAATAATTCTGGGAGAGACTTTGGCTGTTGATTAGAGGATCCCTGAGCTGGAAGCTGGAGTAGAGGGTAGGCCCGGGTTCACCTACCAGCCACTGGACACTGGCAGTCCCAAGGATTGGAGGACTGCTGGGAACGATACCCAGTCAGCCAGTCCAGTGAAACTTTGAGGCCTTGGAAGAGGGAAAAATACCGTGACTTGGCCGGGGAGCCAAGCCATGAAAAGGGAGCACTCCCACGAGGAAGCACTGAAACTTTTCTTCTGAAAGAACCAGCTTTTCCATACCTGGATCCTCAAGGAAAAGCCTTAACCTACCTTTCATCTGGCATGTAGCTGCTTCCCTTTCCATTAGAGAGACAAGGGGGCAGCCGCCAGGTAATATCTTTGATGGGACCAGCCAGTGTCTGTGACCGAGGCAAGCTTTAGAGCTTAGGTGGAGCTCTTCTTTAGGCCAGTTTTTATTACCATTACTTCTGCTGTCCAACTGAGGCCTGGTTCAGAAACTGGAGTAGAAATGTATTTGCTATGTACCAACACCCCAGAGATCCAAATTCAAGAGTGTGTGTGTGTGGCAGGGGAAGAGAAGGGACTCTTGCGCCATTTCATCAGGGCCTGGCTATCCCTATTGGAAACTAGTCCTGCTTTGAGCATTACTGGAGAACACTGGCTGGAGCCAGCTGGCTTCACTCCTCTGGCACAGGCAGGCTAGAGACAGGGTGGGGGATCTGGCTGGCTGGTGCTGGGGTCAATGGGTCACTGGCTGCCTCTTTACTGCCCCCTGAAGCTCTAGCTCTTGCCTGGTTCCCCTGCACTCCTTTCCAATCGTTCATGCAACTACCCCAGCCCTGGCTATGAATAGTCTAAAACAGCAGCTATCACCTGGATCAGGTGAGATGCACTTTACATATGCAAACACAGCCTCTTTGCCCTAGTACCTGGTTCTACAATTTGGGAGAGGGTTGGGGGGGGGGGCCTGGGCCCTGTTTCTCCCTCATTTTTCCTTGGTACAAAGGGACAGTCAAACTGCGAGGCTGCCACAGAACAGGCCCCTTCCTCAGCTCGGCCTCTCCCCAGCCCTGCAAAGTGGAATTACTGCTCCCAGGGGCCCCGCCGCAGGGAGCCTTAGGGGCGCCTGCCCAGCTCCTGGGGCCTCCTTCCATCCCTGTCACACCAAGTTGCCGCTTGTTTTCAGGCGCTTTTTAGTCCCGCCCGCTGCCCGTCCGGTGCAGCGCTGCGCTCTAGCCGGGCTGCGTGTGGACGCGGGCGGCGGCGCCCTGGGGGCTGCGTGGCGAAGCCGCCCCTGCCCGCGGCGGGAGCAGGCCGGGTCTGGCAGCCTGCGGCGGGCTGCAGGCACGGCCCGCTCCGGCCTCCCCCAGCCGCCTGCCAAGGCTTGGCCCGGGGGTGCTGCGCCGTGCGGGCGAGGCTCGTCCCAGGGCCCCCTCCGCAGACCGGCCGGCGCCCGGCGCGCCCCAGTCCCGTTCCGGCTGCGCCCTGCGCGCCTGGGCCGGGGCCGGACGGAGCGAGCCCTCGCTGCGTCCCCGGCTCGGGAGAGCCGCCTGCGAGGCCGGGCTTAGACACAGGAGACGAGCACCAGGATCAGGGAACCGCTTCAGCGGGGCCCGAACCCGGCGTGCCGGGAGGCGAGGCGGCCCCCTTCCCTTTCGGGGCAGGCAAACCGCCTCCACACGGGGCGTGGACCCCCGCCGGCCCCCCATTTCAGTCTTAACGCATTGCCAGATTGTAAGTAGGCACCGTCTAAACGGAACCGTCCGTTCCCCACGGGTTCTGCTGCTCGGAAACGCCGGGCGGAGATAAGGGATCGGCCCCATGGTCGCGTTTCAACACAAAGGTTGATAATAGCACCGATCTGTTCATAGGCTGCACAAATAGAGGTAAACTGTTCCATAGCAATCATCTCGATTTCAGCACTGGCAATCATGAGGCGGCTGAGAATTTATATTGTGAAACTATCTTTGAGTCGCAGCTTTGAACATCCTTTCGCCTGATTGAATTGTTTATCGCTGAAGCAGAAACAGTGCATTTAGTGGAAGTGCTTTGCCACGTCTAGGAAGAAAAATCTTCCCAGGAGCGGGTTGAAAAGGATGCGAGAGCCGCCTTTCGTTCAGAGCCGTTCTCCTGCGGGGTTTGTTTCTTTTCTCCCACCAGCCGGCTGGGATTTGCAGGCCTGCGGGCACTAGGGGGCAATGTGTCTGTTTCAAAGAAACCAGCCCGACAACTCTTGCAGACACAGGCTGACACCAAACCCCCCCCTCACTCCCCGAGAAACTCAGAGTCTCGGACAGGCACTAACCGAGAGAGAGAGACCCAACCCCTCTTGTGCACACACGCCTGAGGACACGGTTTAGCCTGAACGGACCGAATACAAGACTTGGTACTTGGGTGCCCTGCAATTAGGTTTAGGAGTGGGGGGTTGGGGAAGGTTACAAAAGCCACCACACGTCTTCCCATTCCTGAGCTGGGTTCTGTTGGGCTTCGTCCTGCCCGTGGAAACGGGACTGTGTCAGCTTAGGGTGGTTTTGACAAACAACGCCAGGGCCGCGCTGCTGTAGAATAGGGGGCAGCTGCATTAAACACGTGTTTAATGGGACATTCCTATACCCGACCCGGCAGTGCTGAATAAGACTCGAACCTCCGCCCTTATTAAAATAGAAATGCGTTGTTTAAAATGCTGTCCCCCCCCCCCGTGTAACATTTAAAACTGGGTTAAATTGTATTAGCCGCCGGTCTGGGGCGCTGGCATGTTCTTTTGTCACTATTTCCCCTGGAATCGGTAAGATTGTCTTTTATTCCTTTGTAGCACTGTCAGACTTTTCTTATTTCATTTTCTGCCCATCGCCGGGTCTAAACTAGGCACCCCAGGCCTCCCCCAGCTCTCCTTCCCCCTGTCACTTTGCTAAGTAATAATTTCCGTGTCCAATTCCATTTCTTTTCTAGTTCTGAAATCTCTAAGCCATCAGCAAGGAGGATAGTTCACATGAAAACTAATTACACAAAATCAATATTTAATCACAGCCCGGCATCCTGATCCTGCAGAAAAATCCTTTTAAAACTCTACTGCCATATACAAATACGTCTTCTTGGCCGCTTGTTTATAGATCTCATTTTTTTGGCTGGAGTAATTTTCATTCTTATTTTTTTAAATCTATTGATATCTAGGAGAGGCGAACACCTGAACGGCCTTAGAGCTGTCGTTTCTCTCTAGATCCTCGGCTTTAAAACAACAACACAAGTATTTTGGGTTGGAAGTGCGGTCGCATACCCACAAGTGCGGGAGACCTTCCTCCAGATGTTTTTGAAGCCTTTGGATTCAGCCTAACCCAGCCGTAACGAGCGGGGGGGGGGGAGGGGGAGAACCGGGTCATTTCTACCGCCCCGGCTAGCTTGGCCTGTTTGGTTCAAGCCCCCCTGGAAAGAGGCCTGGGTTGGGAATAGTTTCGGTGTCACATTTATTTAACGCGCAGTTTAGAAAATACAGAGAACGAACCGGACCTACACCGACCTTAAACACGTGTTTAAACGCAGGTTCTAGGTAAGATCTGTATTTCTATTTAAATGAGTTATCGGAAGTGTAGTTGAGTTTTTTTAATGTGACCCTGTTGCCAAGATCCCCTTTGACTACCTGATTTCAAAGCTGTCCACCCTTTTTACAAACTTCCACTTGCGGGGGCGGGTTTCAGCCCCAGTGGGGAGCCGGAAGAGCCAAACGTTTTAACTAAGGTTATTGGGATAAATATTTCATAAAGAGCAGAGCAGATATTAAATTACACTTATTGATTTTGGTATCACAACCCAATTCCTCTCCTTAGCCCCTCTAGACTAATTGATCTCTTAAGGAGGCTTGGCTGTCTGGCCATTACTTTGAATGATAATAATAATAAAAAACACTATAAACGTTACAACAGAAGTCTTGCTTAGACACGCTGGTACTTCGCGTAGCGCTCGAAGCAAGTGTAGGAATAAAGCCCAGCAATAAAATATCGAGCCTGTACTTTGCACTGGCCGACTCTCGTGCTCCTAACGGGTTGTCAATAGACCCCCCCCCCCACACACACTTTCCAGTCCTCTTTCCTTGCAACCTGAAACATAAACGTGGGAGAAGGAAGGCAGGCGCCTTTCATCCTGGTCAGCCGTGCTGCGCCGAGCCCCAAGCCCTCAGCAGCGGCCGGCTGGAGAGAGGAGAATTTGAGATGGGAAATGAGTCTCGAGGCGCGTTGGGGGAGTTCAGTCTCACCCGGAAAACTTACCCTGAACAAAAACACTGACAGACAGCGCTCGCCTGACGGAGCAGAGGCAAACGTGTGTGAGGTCTGGGTAAACATGTCATTTACATCCGTGCACCGCCGCGAGGAGCGGGAGCACCGCGCTGTCAAAGGGCTGCGGAGGCGGCGCACTGAGCGTGTCCTGTCAAAAACTCTTTCCCACCAAAACCTCCTCCCCGGGGCAGGCGGTGTTTGTTTTCCCTGCCAGCAATGCGCCTCCGGGACGGCAGCGCTTCCCCGGGGAGTGTGGCCGGCCGGGCGGGCGCTGCTGAAACGGGACGCGCAGAGATCCGCGCCAGCGGCCCGCCTGCGCCCGGCGCGGAGCCCTGCGCGCCCCCCCGGCTGGCCGGTCGGTGCCGGCCCCGCTCCGCGGAGCGAATTGCAGGCGCTAACAAAGGACCCGCTTTCGGGCCGACATGTGTTGACCGCCTAGTTTGCAACGGGGGCGGGAGGGGGCGGGGGTTAAAACGCCGAAAGGCGCGGCCGGAGCCAAGGCCGGGCAGGAAGGTGATGGGCACAGGAGCGCAGGCGGAGCCCGGCTTCCAGGGGCGGCGGGGCTACAGGGGGAAGGAGCCACCTTAACGGAGAGCCCCGCCCCGGGCCCGGAGCATGCGTCCCGCTCATTGGTGCAGCGCTAATGGCTGAAATTGATTGCTGAAATGCAAAACTTGTTGCTGTTTCTCCAGCTCTGGCTGAGAGAGGGAGCGGAAGAGCGGGGAGCGGAGACCCTGCAGCGCCCCAAGCCGGGCACCCTGCACCGCCTGCGGCCGACGGGACCCGCCAGCAGAGGGGAGCGGGGACCCTGCAGCGCCCCAAGCCGGGCACCCTGCACCGCCTGCGGCCGACGGGACCCGCCAGCAGAGGGGAGCGGGGACCCTGCAGCGCCCCAAGCCGGGCACCCTGCACCGCCTGCGGCCGACGGGACCCGCCAGCAGAGGGGAGCGGGGACCCTGCAGCGCCCCAAGCCGGGCACCCTGCACCGCCTGCGGCCGACGGGACCCGCCAGCAGAGGGGAGCGGGGACCCGCCAGGAACCCAGAGACAGCGCCAGCGCCAGGAGAGCCTCGGTCCGGCCGCCGGGCGGGGAGACCCTCGGAGCGCCCAGCCCCGAGCGCGGCCAGGCGCGGAGAGCGGAGCCCGCCGGGACCCCGCGCCGGGCTGGCCGGTTTGCGGGGCGAGCGGAGAAGCAGAGGCTGAGCCGCGCTCCCAGCGCCTCTGCAGCCCGGCGATGCGGAGCGGAGCTCCCGCGGACTGGAGCCGATGAGCCGCGGAGCCGAGCCCCGCCGGATGTCGGGGAGAGCCGGCCGCCGCACGAGGTGTGAGGGAGCGGGGCGCTCCCAGGCGTAAGTGCCGCGGCCGCTCGGAGAGCCCCGGGCTGCGTGGGGCGGAGGCCCGGACCCAGGCCGGTAGATTTCATTTCCTTGAACTTTGTTTGGAAGCCGGGGCTGACGCTGCCTGCTGCTTCTCCGTGCCCGCCCCGCCCGAGCGCATCCCCGCTACGCGCCCCCACGCCCTGGCCACCTGCCCCTGCAAGATGTGAGCGCGGGGACGGCTCCCTGGGGACCCCGGCTCGCCCGCCGCTGCCTGCTGCAGGGACGCTGTGAGTTGGCTTTAAAAGACTTTGGGGCTATCGCTCGCTGCGGTTCCGAGCGCGCTCCTGGCGGAGCCGGTCCGAGTCGCGCACCGGGGCACGCGGGGCGCCATGCCCTACTGATCCCCAGAAGTATGTTTGGGCTGGAGCAGTTTGAGCCCCAGATCAGCAGCAGAAACGCCGGACAAGGCGAGAGAAACTTTAGCCAGGCCGGACTGACCATGGGCTCTCACTTCAAATCGCCAGCTTTCCACGCCGGGGGCCCCGCGGATCCGGCCATCAGCGCCCTGGGCGAGCCTCCCATCCTGGGCATGAACATGAACATGGCTGGGGAAGCGTACGGCTTCCATGCCCGGGGACACTCCGAGCTGCACGCAGGGGGGATGCAGGCTCAGCCGGTTCATGGCTTTTTCGGCAACCAGCAGCCTCACCACGGCCATCCCACCACCCACCACCCGCACCAGCATCACCCGCACTTCAGCGGCAACTTTGGGTCCGACCCCAGCGCCTCCTGCTTGCACGGAGGGCGGCTGATGAGCTACAGCAGCAGCGTGGGCAGCCAGCAAGCGTTTGCAGAGGGATATGAACATATGGCCGAGAACCAAGGGGGCGAGGGCTTTGGACAGCAGAGGTCAGGTAACATGCCCGATTTCCAGCACCATAACTCCAGCGCCTCTAACCACGCCGTGCCCGCGCCCTGCCTCCCACTGGATCAGTCTCCCAACCGGGCTGCCTCCTTCCATGGGCTTCCAGCCTCCAGCTCCTCGGATTCCCACAGCCTGGAGCAGAGGCGGCTTCCCAACCCGGGAGGCGTCGATTCTTTGGAATACAATTACGCCAGCGACGGCCCTTCAGGACACTTCGATTTGCCCGTGTTTTCTCCTTCCGAGTCGGAGGGGCAGCTTCCTCACTATGGCGCTGGCCGGCAAGTTCCTGGGGGTGGCAGTTTCCCTGGCACATCCGTTTTGCCCAGAGCACCGGGCCTGGTGGGGATGTCCAAAGTTCACCCGCAGCAGCAGCAGCAGCACGGCGTATTCTTCGACAGGTTTGGAGGTGCTCGTAAGATGTCTGTGGGCATGGAGCCTGGGGTTAACGCCAGGCATCCTCTAATGCAACAGCAGCCACAGGCCGGTTTACTGGCCAGACAAAACTCCTGTCCGCCAGCAATCCCCAGGCAACAGCAAACCGAGGCCAGCGCGCCCAACCCCAGCTTGCAGGACAATGGGCCCCTCCTGCAGAACCAGCACGCACAGTTTGAGTACCCTATTCACAGGCTGGAGAACAGGAATATGCACCCCTATCCCGACCCCGTGTTTAATATGCAGCCCCCTCCTCCGCAGCAGCCACCAAATCAAAGACTGCAGCATTTCGACGCCCCGTACATGAGCGTGGCCAAGAGGCCGAGGTTTGACTTCCCCAGCTCCCCCGCCGTCGACAGGTGCGCGGCCTGGAGTAACCCCCTGCACGGCGCCGGGATGGAAAACCACCTGTCGCCGTCCGCCTACCCCGGCCTGGCGGGCGAGTTCACGCCGCCGGTGCCCGAGAGCTTCGCCCCGGGCCCGCCGCTCCAGCACCCGGGCCCCGACCCGCAGGCCCTGCAGCAGCGCCAGAACGCCGCGCTCATGATCAAGCAGATGGCCTCCCGCAGCCAGCAGCAGAGACTCGGGCCCAGCCTGCAGCAGCTGGGGCACCACGGGGACCTCGGCCAGGGCGGCCTGGCGCACGCGGGCCCCGTCGGGACCATGCCGCAGCCCGGCTTCGAGCGCGACAGCGGCGGCCGCGGGCCCGGCTTCGAGCCGCCCGCCCCGCACCTGGCCCAGGACAGCGGCTGGTTCCCGGGGCCGCCCCCGCCGGGGGGGGAGCTGCTGCCGCCGCCGCCGCCCCCGCCCCCGCCGCGGCGCCTGGGCGGGCCCGCCGAGCCCGGCCCGCACGAGCTCAGCCTGGCGCCCGGCGGCTCCGGCCTGCTCTTCCGGCCGGCCGCGGGCGGGCTGGGGCTGGCGGGGGAAGGCCGCGGGCCGGCCCTGCACTCCCCGGGCGTCCACGCCCCGTTCGGCGCCGGCTTGGCCCCGCTGCCGTCCCCGGGCGCGGGCGGCGGCGGCGGCGTGGTGGGGCTGCCCAGCGCGCCCGCCGAGCGCCGCCCGCCGGCCGACTTCGCCGCGCCCCCGCTGGGCGGCCCGGCGGCCTTCGGCTTCGGCGCCTCGGGCCGGCCGGCCCCGCCGCCCAGCGCCAGCGGCTCGCCCGGCGCCTTCCCGCCGCCCGAGTTCCCGCCGGCGCCGCGCGCCGCCGCCGCCAGCAAGCTGGGCGCGCTGTCGCTGGGCTCCTTCGCCAAGCCGGCCAAGGAGGCCGCGTTCGGGCAGAGCTGCCTGGCCGCGCTCTCCACCGCCTGCCAGAACATGATCGCCAGCCTGGGCGCGCCCAACCTGCACGTCACCTTCGCCAAGCGCGGCCCGCCCGAGGCCCGGCGCAAGCCCGGCCCGCCCGAGCCCGACGGCGGCGCCGCGCCCGGCCCCGCGCCCGGCCCGGACTTCTTCCCCGCCAAGGCCGCGCCCGAGGCCAGCCCCTCGCCCGGCTTCCCGCCCGAGGCCGCGCCGGGCGGCGAGGGCAAGGCGGCGGCGGCGGCGGCGGCGGCGGGCGGGCGCGGGCGGGGCCGGCGGAAGCGGGACAGCGGCCACGTCAGCCCGGGCGGCTTCTTCGACAAGTTCCCGCCGGCCGAGGGCGGCGGCGCGGCCAGCCCCGGCCCCGGCCCCGGCCCCGGCGCCCCGCCCGCCGCGCACGACCGGCCGCTGGCCTCGCCCTCCTGGGCCAAGGGCGGCGAGCGGCCGCGGGGCGAGCAGCCCGACCTCCTGGCCTCGCTGGACGGCGGCCTCCCGAGCGCCAGCAAGTCGGACGGCGGCTCCCCGCGCGGGGACTTCCCCGCCGAGCCCAGCCCCGCCTACGGCCACGAGGACGAGGTCTCCTCCAGCTCCGACGGCGGCCCGGCCAAGCCCCCGACGCGCAGCCCGCTGCTGGGCGGCTCCCCGCCGCAGGCGCTGCTGGGCGGCCAGAAGCCGCTGGCCCTGGGCCTGCTGGGCGGCCCGGGCCCGGCCCCGGACGGCTACGGGCTGGGCGGCGGCGGCGGCGGCCACCCGGGCACCCCGGGCCTGGAGCAGGTGCGCACCCCGGGCAGCAGCTCGGCGCAGGACGAGATCCACCCGCTGGAGATCCTGCAGGCGCAGATCCAGCTCCAGCGGCAGCAGTTCAGCATCTCCGAAGACCAGCCGCTGGGCATGAAGAGCAAAAAGGCCGAGTGCCCCAGCCAGAACGGGGAGGGCGAGTTGAACAGCTGTTGCTCGGATAGCGTCAAAGGTGCCATGAGCACGATAGACCTGGACTCCCTGATGGCAGAGCATAACTCTACCTGGTACATGCCTAGCGAGAAGTCCTTGATGGAGGGGCAGGAGGAGGACAAGCCTATGGCACCATGGGAGAAGTCGAAGCCCCAGAATCCCAGCAAAGAAGGTATCCATTTCTAGTCCCTTTCTGAGCATGAATTTAGGCTGGTGGCACGGGTTGCTCTCTTCAAAAGTTTGCCTAATCCTAATGCGTGGTGGGGACCTTCCTCCCGCTTGGCTTAGGGCCCGATAAGGGGAACAGGGCTGCTTGGGGTTCCCCTCCTGCCCGTGGCACTCCTTAGGCGGTGTGTGTTAAACTTGAGTCAGGTGGGCCGTCTGTCCTGCTGTTCTGCCGTTTTTCCACCATCCCGAGCAGGTCAGTTTCTAGTTAAAACACAACAGGCTTTCGGCACCCACTATTTCTAGAAGCACTGTTGAATATGGAAATGTAATGACCTAATCGGGGTTGGTAAAGAGGCGTTAGGATTGTCACCTCTCTCTGTCTGCAACACCCTAGATAAACTCCTGACTCTTGCGTAAGGACCTGCTAATAGGAAATGCATAGCTAACAGCAGTTTGCTTGGATTGTTGCTTTCCAAGACTAGGTTGGGCATCCCTTCATACACAAAGGAACAATTGTTCCGCTGTGAACTCGAAAGAGGAAAATATGTTTGGTCGGGAATTTAACAGGGGAGTTACCGGTAGGTTAGGTAGGTGATCAGTGACTTAGGGAACCTTTGCTGGTTTGGATGAATGGACTCCACAGGTCAGATTAGGAACAAAACACCGCCCCTCCCCTATAAACCTACACACTTAGAGCTTCATTGACTAAATGAATGGTGGCTCTTTGCTACTTAAAACAAACAGAACTCTTACTGTAGAGGAAGCAGACAATCGGTTTCTTTACAGCTTTTAGGATGATGGCTTTAAAATCGTAACTTGTTTGTGCCCATAACACTTTAATTCTAATTTCAATTAGGCAGTATTCTAAGCCATGTAATTTCTGTGTTAACATGGGTGAATTCAAGTATTTTTTTCATATTGGATTAATTAAGCAGGGAAAGTTTAGATATACATGGCAAGTGTTCAGATGGGGGCTCTCAGTTTAATTTGCAGAAATACATATATTGACAGAAGAGAACTTCCTGCTGTGGGAATGTTTACTTTATATATATATATATATATATATATATATTTCCCCCCTGTATTATAAAGGTTTTGGTGAATCCAGCAAAAACGTGTTTGGTGTCAATGTTACATAGTCTCTGTTTCTAGGTATTTTCCTGTTTATCTTTTAAAGATGTGGTGCTGAGCTAAGAAGTTTCTACCATTGTTAACATAAGGAAAATAAAATCAGACTCAGTGTTTGTCAATATAAAACCATGCTTAGTTGACAGATGTTTAATATCAACATTTAGTTTTCATTCTTGGTTTTCTTTATTATCTAGAGAGCATTATAATGCTAGGATGAAAAAAATACATGGGTGGAAAACAGTTTTAGTTATAAAAGCTCCTTAACAAAGATTTCAGATTTAATCATTTCCATTTTATCAAAGCCATTTTTTCTAAGCTCATTGATTTAAGGGGGGTGTGTGTTTGCGCACCCTTCCCCACATACTATATATGTAAAATTGTCTATATGTATGCACCTCTGCGTGTGTGTATTTTATATCATGTATACACATACATGTATCATGTATTTTATGTTGGTGATTCATTTTGCTAACGTTAGGCTGGTTCAGATCTATTTTCACGATCTCCTCTTAAGAACCATTTTTGTAGTACCCTTGATTGACTTTGGAATTTAGGTAAAGAGAGATGTTATTAAAATGAAAATGGAGTTTGGGTGGTTTGAAAACTCCATAACTTCATACTTCCAGTTCTGGTGGGCTTTCCTGCTTTCGTTTTCTGAAGCATGAATGCTGGCCCCCACTGTTTGTCTCTTTGTTCATGTTTAATGCCCAGCACTAGAGACTCTCATTTGAAGCCGGAGTGCTTAGCATGCACAGCAGACTCTAGGAAACGCATCAGCATTCTCTATGCTTCACCCAGGCAAGGACATAAATTGGTTTGTTTGGGGCCCTTCTTTCCATTTTTAAATGGAGTTGCACACAGCATCCTTCCTGGCCCCTTCTTTTTTATTGTTTCTTGTACACAACATCTAGATCTGACTGGATCAATAGCTAGTTAGCACAAATCACAGTTCCTGTCACTTCTACCTTGTCAGACATACACACGCTCATGCACACTCTAATTAAAAGCAGATTGGGGTAAAATGAAACTTAAGTTTTTTAGATTTTAATTTATTGGATTAAAAAAACCTAAGTGAAATATTTTTGGACTTTTTTTGTTACAGCTTGGCTTAATATTACAAGTTTTTCTTGTGTACATGTGACTCTGTGGCAGTGGGTTTTTTTTTTTTTTGTTTGAGACAACTCCCCTACACACAGTTTGATGTTTTAAGAAATGGACTTGTTTGATAGTCACCAGTACTTTTAAGGAAATAACTCTTCCTTCTCATATAATGATAATCATAAATATTATTACAAGAGCCAGCTCATCACTCTTGTGCTGGTGTTCCTGGAAGGAAAACTAGGTTACTTGTATTCCTGTATAAGGATAAGTTTTAGTACTTAAACCTCTTAACATAAAATAAGATATTGATCTAACTCTATAACACTGCATAGATACATTCATTTCGATTTCCATTTTTACCCCTTGGAAGGTTTAAGTGGACCAATTCTTCAAATGAGACAAGTGATATAGATAAGTAGAGAATTAACTTTAATTGTTCTTTGAAATGATAGGAGGCAAAGTAGATGAGTTCTTTTTTTTCTGTCACAAAATAAGAATGATTATATTTTTAATTAAATCATATCCTTACGTGCTTGAAGTTGTGTTTAAGAAAGGGGTTTTATTAATCATGTGACTGAAGTTCAGGAAACCCATTTTTAGTCAACTGGAATTTGCCTAAAACAATGTAGGTTTCTAAGTATTTGCAGTTGTGCATATACAGAAAATGTATGTAGGTTTCAAACATCACTACTCAGGATCCACACATTAGTAATACTTAATACAGTACAGTGTGAAAGGTTATAAGTTCATTAAAGCATTTAATTGTTTTATACTATTAAAATACTTGTATTTCTGAAGTATAGCGTAACCTCCCTAACAAATATTTTGATTTTTTTATTTTAAGTTATACTCACTGGGGTCAGAAAGAACCTCTTCTGTTTTGTACATAACACACAACTACTGTGACATGCATTGATTCTTCTATGGACTTCTTTTGAAGGTTATAAATAGGGTGAATGGAGAAGTTCTAACTCATGGAGCACTGAAGTCAGCATTTCATGTTCTTGAGGCCGTTCTCCAAAGTGTGTGTGGTTTTTGTGTTTTTAAGTTTAGTTAGTTCTACTGTGACTACAGGAGCTTTGTTTGTTCAAGTATTTTCTGTCTGTAGAAGGCAACTCTTTAAATATTCAGTTAATACCCACACTAATGGAAGAAACAACTTGTCTAAATAATTGTTGCAGTGACAACAGACTCTTCTTTGCTGATGCTCTGTAGTTTTTTGATAGTGGTACTAGAATGAGTGTTTGTGTGAGTAGTGAATTTAGGGATAGATGACCATAGATAACACATGCATGTGTACACACATATATACAGCCTGTTTGACATTTTGTGTTTATATATTTGGAAGTTTCATCCTATTAAGATATTATCTTTATTAAGTGTCCTCTTCAGTTAGGAATATTTCCGGTATTAAGTTTTTTGTACTAAAATAACCTTTTTTGAGGTGAATAGTAGGATTTTCCATAAAGCTTAATAGAATTTTATGTCTTCTCTGTGCTATCCACCCGGGATCTAGTGTTGAGGGGTGTTAAAATTGTGTCTGTAGAAATACTGATGACTCTTAAAACCCTAGATAAGTGTAATTAGGAAGAGCCAGACCAAAATCACTTGCAAAGCCCAGGATGAATTGAGTATGTTTCATTTTACCTAATTTGACTAAATGAGGAAAACTTTTTACTCCAATGGAGTTTTGGTTAGTACATTCTGGGAGGCCAATAGTTAAGTTCTTGGTTTTTGTTCCTCCCCACCCCCACCATTGAAATTTCTAAGGTCCATATCGATGCCTTCACTTGACATTTGCACCACAGGAATATGTAACCTAAAACCACACCGGTGTTAATCAGGGAAAATGAAAATAGATGTGGTTACCCTTTGTGGCTCTTACATTGGTGGTTGCCCATTTTCATTTCCAAGTCCAGCTCGGTACGTTTAATTTCTAACCTTTAGGTTCTTAAATATTTCATAGCAGTAATAAACTTGTCTTTGGAACAAGCCAACAGACATAAAATGCTAACCAAGCAAACTATTTAAAACTGTACATTTCTACAGCATATTAAAAAAGGACTTAGGTTCTTTCTAGATACGGCTGTTAGTCCTTGTCAGATTTTCTTTTAGGTCCCAATACATTCTTTGGTGAGTTTTATTTTAGTAAGCTGCTGACTTATTTAAGAGATTTTACCAAGGGAAATAGATTTGTTTACTAAGACGGAATTTGTCAAATTTCTTGTGCGGCCTTTCAAATGCTGAAGTAACATTAAAAGCAACATATGATTTGAAATTGACTTATACTGTAATAAGGACTATAGGAAATGAGTTAACACTGACTAAACTTACTTTATAGCAGTGAAACTATGATTCCTGATGCTATTTTGTTTGCTTGATAGAGGTATTTAAACTTCCATGAGGAATTTTAAGTTACCAGAAATGCAATTATCTTTGCCAAGAAGTTATGCGATATACTCTGCAGATATGAAATATACATCTTTAATAAATGATCTGGGTTAGCTGGCTGATTTATGGGGAGAGACTACTCCCACTGCAGATTGCAATGAAGATTTCATTGTGCATTTAGATTTGGATTTAATATGATCTCTTAAACTCTTCTGATCTCTAAAAATCTAGCAAGGTCGCTCCTGACTGATTTGGCTTCATTTGAATGACAATAGCACTATTTCATTTACTCTGACCAACCATTAGCTTTGCAGTATAATTTTATAGAAAAATGTTCCTGTTCAGAAGCACTTGCTTCTGTTTTATATACTATTAGAGATA